GAAGTTTCAATTACCCACGAATAATATACAATCACAACAAAATAACTAAAATAGTTCTTCTAGGTTTTCAATATGTAATTTCATCCAAATTTGAACTAAAAATAAACTGTGCTTATGTATATTTTAGATTTTTTGGTAACAGAATTAAATACTTACATGGAATCTTGTTTTAAATTTTCAATCCTTAGATATTAAAGTTGAACATTTTATAAATTTTTAACTACAAAATAATTATTCAATTTTAAATTTGATAAATTTTGTCAAAATTTGATCTTTAAATGCTTATAAAAAAATGTGTGCATACGTATTTTCATTATTTTTCAACTACTATTGTAACAATATATCAGGAGCCTTGTATTAAATTTTTACACTTTTTGGCACAACAGATAAAACTTTATTGATATTTATAGAAAAAACAACTAAAATAATTGAAAACTGAAAATGTCCGTAAACAGCTCAAAAAGAGTCAAAATATTTTCAAAATTGTATGGTGTATAGGAAATACTAAAATAAACATTCAGTGCAATTTTCATGTATCTACAGTTTTTCGTTTTTGAATTACAACAAAATAAGGAAATCGCTACATGAGTAATCGAGTGAATATCCAATGTTGTAAATATTTGAATTTCAAACGCTCATAAAAATTTAATTTGACTGACCGGTAGACATTTTTTTTTTTGGTAAAGGTAGATAATCTTATAAAGGTGCGTACACACTAGCGTAACAAAACGGCGAACTTGTAACATGTAACAGTGTTCGTGTGTCATATGCGTGTAACACATCTTCGAACTTGTACCATACTTCTGAAACAATCCGCCGATCCGCTAATTGTCGGTATTTTGGCGAAACATCAAAGGATGATACGCGTTCATGTTACAACATGTATGGACGGGATGACGAACAAAACCGTGTAACATCATACGAATAATAATATACTATATTACTATATTTTTATATTTTAGTATTATTTTATTATAGGTATTATAGTATATACTTCAACGAAGTTCGAGAGAGAACTTAATTTGTATCAACAATTAATAAAGGATACTTATATGCGGCTATGCCTATCGATTGTCGAAATAACTATTTATAGCTGGAATTTACTGTCCTATGATATTGTTACTATAATGTAAATTAATATATTTATATACAAAATCACAGCGTTCATTTTATTTTACCATTTCATCATAGTATTAACAAATTAATACATTTAGTTGCCGATTAACCTCCGAGAACACACAATATAGGTAGTCGTTTATTTTCGTTTACTTATACATTTTGTCACGATGGCCTACTGGACAAATGAAAATGTATTAAAACTTATTGAAATATATCGTAGTAAGGAAATTATATGGGACCCTACAAACAAAAATCATTTTAATAAGATTTTAAAAAATGACGCTTGGAATGAAATAGCAAGTGAATTTTCCAATCACATTTCAACTGCAATCACGCCGGATGAGTGTAGAAATAAAATGGTGTCGATACAAGCTGCACATAGAAGAGAAAAAATGAAAATAAGGAAAAGTATAGGAACCGGTTCAGGTAAGTACATATTACCTAAACTAAATTATTTAATGGTTAAACATTAAATTTATTCTCTCAGGTACTCAAGACGTATATAGGTCATCATGGTTTGCATTTGAAAGTCTTGAATTTTTAATGAACAAAGATAATCCTCGTCAGAGAAGATGCACGGTAAATTTATAAATTATTATACAGATATTAGTAATTTAAAAAATATTGAAATATTTTTATTTCATGTTATTTACAGTAAAAATTAGTAAAATAACTAATAATTACATTTTTTTAAATATTTTTAATATTTTTAAAATATTTAGATTATGCATATTTTTCTTGCCAAATAACATTTCCTTCATTAATACAGTATTGCATTATTTCTTCTCGTATTTGCATCGCATTCGTTGTAGATTTACGTGGTACCCTCTTTATTGGTCTGAGGGATGATATTTCTTCATTATTGGTCTCCCGCCATGTTCCTTCAATAAAGTTTCCATTTACTTCAGAGTCGAATATTCCATTGGGTGTATAAACAGCAGCTGAGGTATTATTTCTTCTTAAAAAATTATGAAGGTGTGCTATGGTCATAACAATTAGTTCTGATTTTTCTGGGTTCAATAACAGTGGCTTTCGGAGAACTCTAAAAACAGATGAAATAATACCGAAAACATTTTCCACCACCCGACGGGCTCGAGAAAGTCTATAGTTATATATTCGTTCTGGCGTGCCTTTAGAAAATAAGCCAGAAAAAGGTTTCATTATGTTGTCCGTTAAAGGAAATGCCCCATCACCAATAAAAAAAAATGGTATTTCTTTACGTCTGCCCGGTAGTGGTGCTAATAATGGTAAACCTAGTGAATTGGATTTTAATTTTTTATTAAGTTGACAATCTTGAAATACGCCTCCGTCCGAAATTCTTCCTTGGCAACCTGCATCGACGAATATGAAATTATAGTTCGCGTCGACAACAGCAAATAATACAATACTGAATGAAGATTTGTAGTTAAAATATTCACTCCCGGTATTGATAGGAGCTTGGATTACCACATGTTTTCCATCCATAGAACCCAATGTGTGTGGAAAGTTCCACTTAGTTTCAAAATCATTTGCTATTCCCAACCATTTTTCTGGTGTATTAGGTACCTGAAGTAACATATAAAACAATAGCATTATAATGTAATGATAAAAAAGTCGCGTAAGCGGATATAGCTCTGCTGTACACTAGGTTCCAAGTGGGCAAGGATGGAAAACGTTTTTAAAAAAAGTTATTAAACGGAAAAAAACCAAAAACGAAAACAATTAATAAAACAAAAAACAAATTAAAAACGATAACCAAAAATCCCAAAAACTGAAAAAAATTTAATAACGAAATCAAAAACAAAAACAAAAATAAATTATAGTATTATACATTATTAAATTATTTTTACCACGGAAAAAAAATTCACTGAAGTCTTTACTTTTTAATCTATATTAATGTACTTTTAACATTTAAAAACATTTTCATTTTAAATCAGTAATTTTGAATTTTCTAATTTTTATATAAATTATAATTTTGATTTAAATTTTAAATGTTAAGAATAATTAATTTTAATTTGAACTTTTAAGTGCATTTCTATATTGCGCGTTATTATTATAACTTAAAAGTTATAAGCTATAAGAATATAATATAAAAAAAAAAACGTTAACCAAAAGCGATATATTTTAAATCAATAAACAAAAACGAAAACGAAATAATTAAAAACGTTTTCCGTCCCTGCAAGTGGGTAACTGTAATGGATATAATTCAATTTGAAATCAATGATATATATATTGTCTAATTATTATTATCATATAATAATGTCAGTCTAGGCTCTAGGATATTTTATTTATTTATAATTTTTAAATTTTTTTCACATTTTTATTTTATAGTATATATATATTATATTTATTGAAAAAACTATTCGTAAGATAACATAATATGTACCTATTTAATAATAATAATATAGAACATAAATAAAATATTGATTACACAAAAATATAAAATAATAATTATGAATTATAATGTTTGCAAAATTGAACTTATATAATTCATATAAAAAAAAGAAAGAGGATAAGTGGATGTATCTCTGCTGTACAGTAGGTTACAAGTGGGTCATTGTATAATGGATTGTATTAAGCTTGAATTCAATGATATTCTATCATTGTATAAGAAAAACGATTCTGAACGGAGACGGTTCGTCAGTCTGGATATTTTATATTCTCATTAATTATTATATCATTTAAGTTGAATTAATATTATAAATTAAAATCCAATTTCTAGCGGCTTTTCGTATTTTTTCGGTGGTTTTTACCGTGGCATTAAATAACTATTGATAAAATCGAAAAATGACCTCTCTAAAGTACCTACCATCTTGATTCAATTTGCTAAAAGATAAGGTACTATATGTTGAAATCGAAGAACTCCTCCTGGTAGAAATTTTGTATACAGGATATAAAAAGAAAAAAAGAAATAAATAAACACCATTGTAAAACCACTAGCTTCCTCGCTCCGCTCAAAATCTAAAAAAATTTGCGTTTATGTATTTTTAATATTTTTCAACTGCTATTTAAGCAATATAAATTTTTTTATGAATTTCTAATTCAAAATAATTTTGTACATTTAAACGTATTTAAACTCAAAGTTTAAATGCTTATTATAAAAAAATGATGACTTTATAGGTATTTTTAAAAAAAAAAACTAAAAAAAATTGAAAACTGACTATGTCCGCAAACAACTCAAAAAGAGTCAAAATATTTTCAAAATTGTATGGTGTATAGAAAATGAAAATATAAACATTCAGTACAATTGTCATGTACCTATCTACAGTTATTCGTTTTTGAATTACAACAAAATAACAAAATCCTTATAATATTACGAGAAATTTTAAATTTAAATTGACTTTCTTCCAAACATTTTTTTTTTTTTTGATAAAGTTAGACAAACTTATGAGGAATCTTATATTACATTTTCAATTCATAGATTTAAAAAGAAACATTTTTACGAATTTCTAACTCAAAATAATTTTTTTTCAAAACATTTTTTTGAATTTTACACCTCTTCTCAAAATTCGAACTTTAAATGCTTATAAAAGAAAATTGTGACTATGAGTTTTTACAATTTTTCATCATTTTGAAAAAATTAATAAGGAGCCTTGTATTAAGTTGTCAAGCTTTTTTACTCAACAAATAAAGTTTTATTGACATTCATAGAAAAAAACTAATAAAATTGGAAAGCAGTAAAAATGAATATTAACTACTTATAAATATAATTATCCTCCATGTTAAATCAATCATAATAATAATTTTGTGGTATCATTATCATATTTTACTTACCTATATTATAAGTTTTTTTTCCCCCAGTTTGAGCTATATTATTGGTTTAGAACGAAGAGGTTACATTTTCATAACTATTTTTATTTCTTCTTATGTAAATTATTTACAATCCCCATACTTTATTTTAGATGTCCGATGAAAATGCTCAAAGTGATCAATTGCATACTGATGAACCACAAATTACTCCAGAAAATCAAGATACATCAACGCCGACATCAAAAAAAAGGAAAATTATCAACGAAGATAATAGTAAATTGGATAAAGCCTTTAAAATTCTGGAGTCGGCGGCATCGGCCTCAGCTGAAAAGACTGAAAGTCAATCATTTGGACAGTTTGTTGGAAAGAAATTAGAAACATACAACCAACAAGTTAGAAGTATTGTGCAATATGAAATGTCAAATATTTTATTTAAAGCAGATTCTGGATATTTTAATCAACAACTCACATCAACTTATCAAAATAACCACTACCGTTATAATTCTGATCCATCAAATTATAATTATAATTATAATTATAATCCACATAATTATCCGACAAACATACACACTTCACTGCCACACACATTGCCAGCTCGTGAGACTAATATTACATCTTTACCAGTACCACAAACATCACCAGCTACAATTACACAGACATCTACACCACATCCATCACCTGCAAATACTTATTATAATTATAATCCACATAATTATCCAACAAACATACACACTTCACTGCCACACACATTGCCAGCTCGTGAGACTAATATTACATCTTTACCAGTACCACAAACATCACCAGCTACAATTACACAAACATCTACACCACATACATCACCTGCAAATACGTATACCTCAGAAGAATTGGATTTTAGTGACATTATAGTGTGATTATATTTATTTTTAACTTTGAATAATATTTTGTATTTTGTTGATTTTTATTAAAGATGATTTTTTTTTATTTATTTGATTTTTTATGTGGCAAGTAGCTGTATTTTTTACAAATTTATTGTAATATTTATATTAAATTTTTGATATTAAGTAATTATTATTTAATTTTGTGAGAAAAAAAAAGTTGTTTTTTTGTCACTTTTAACAAGAAGTATTATTTTATTTTTCAACTTTGAATATTATTTTGTATTTTGTTGATTTTAATAAAAACCAAAGATGATTTTTTTTATTTTTATGTAGCTATATTCTATGCAAATTTATTTTAATTTGAATATAATATTTTTACCTGAATGTTATCTTTTAAAACATCAATAATTGCTTCACACACTTCAGGAACTATGTTGCTTATAACTTGTTTGGACATTCTGAACAAATATTGTAAGCTTGTGAATGATTCGCCAGTTACTAGAAATCTCAGGGTTACTGCTAGCCTTTCCTGCACTGAAATCGGTTCTCTTAAAATTGTTTCACTTTTAACAATTTTAGGCCCAATCAAATTTATAAGAAAATCAAAATCTGTTGATGTCATTCTCATAAAGTTTTGAAATTGTCCATTTATTTCTTGTATTCTTAAATCTTGTAATAAAGTGTTTCCTCCTGTCTCTTCACGCCGAGTATATAAATGCGTTGTCCACCATCGTCTTCGTCTTTTACTCTTTTTCTTCAGAGCGAGATGAATATAAATGTACGCAGCAGCAGCTATTTGGAGCGACATGATTAGTGTCTATACTCGGACACTGTGAAAGTAACACTGACGTTTTTAATGGAAAAATTGAAATGTTACATGTTACATGTACATGTTTCAGGTACATGTTACAACTTTAATTTCTGTTGTAACATTTTGTCAAACTGTTACATGTTACAAGTTCGCCGTTTTGTTACGCTAGTGTGTACGCACCTTAAGGAATCTTGTATTACATTTTCAAACCTTAGATTTGAAAAGAAAAATTTTTACGAATTCTTAACAAAATAATTTGCTAATTTTCGTGATTTTTCCATATTTTGCCCATTTTCGAACTTTAAATGCTTATAAAAAAAAATTGTGACTAAGGATTTTTAATATTTTTCATCTGCTTTTGAAACAATATACTAGAAGCCTTCTATTAAATTGTCAAGCTTTTCTAATCAACAAATAAAATTTTATTGATATTTTAAAAAAAAAAACTAAAAAAAAATGAAAACTAACAATGTCCGTAAAGAGCTCAAAATAAGTCAAAATATTTTGAAAATGTTATGGTGTATAGAAAATGATAATATAAACATTCAGTCAAAATTTCATGTACCTACGGTCATTTGTTTAAGAGTTGCACCAAAAACCAAAATCGATTTTCTCGAAAACAGATTTTGCGTAAAAATTCCAGTTTTTCCTTAATTTTTCGTTTGTTTTTCACGCCGCTTTTGAAAACTACTAGGAAATTTTAGATTCTGAGTGAAACGCTGAATGTATTGATTTTACAATGATGTGTGTTTTTTTTTTATTTTTTTTTTTTTTTTTGTGTCTGTGTCCACTATAATAAGTAGTCGAAATAATGCTTCGATTTTCAACTTCAGTATCTTGTTCGATTGGAAAGTGAAAAACGTTGGTGCATTGGGGAGGTCCAAATTTAAATTTCACATTAGTTTTCAAAAGCGCCGGGAAAAACAAAATAAAAATTAAGGAAAAACGGGAATTTTTACGCAAAATCGGTTTTCCAAAAAATCGATTTTGGTTTTTGGTGCAACTTTAAAACAAATGACAAAATGAACAAATACATGACATTTTCAGTGGTTGTTTATATTTGCATTTACTATACACGATAACATTTTCAAAATATTTTGATTTATATAGAACTGTTTGGGGACATTTTCAGTTTCCAATTTTATTAGTTTTTTTTTTTATGAATATCAATAAAAATTTATTTGTTGAGTAAAAATACTTGAAAATTTAATACAAGGCTCCTACTATATTTTTTCAAAGACAGATGAAAAATATTAAAAATCGTAAGTCACAGTTTTTTTTTTTAAGCATTTAAAGTTCAAAAAATGACAAAATATGGAAAAAACCCGAAAATTTGCAAATTATTTCGAGTTAGAAATTCATAAAAATTTTTCTTTTTAAATCTAAGATATGAAAATGTAATACAAGATTCCTTATGAGATTTCCTACATTTATAAAAAAAAAAAATTCTATAAGAAAGTCAAATTAAATTTTTATGAGCGTTTGAAATTCAAATTTTTACAACATTGGATATTCACTCGATTTCTCATGTGGCGATTTCCTTATTTTGTTGTAATTCAAAAACGAATTACTGTAGATACATGAAAATTTCACTGAATGTTTATATTAGCATTTCCTATACACCATACAATTTTGAAAATATTTTGACTCTTTTTGAGCCGTTTACGGACATTTTCAGTTTTCAATTTTTTTAGTTTTTTTTTCTTTAAATATTAATAAAGTTTTATCTGTTGGGCCAAAAAGTGTGAAAAATAATACAAGGCTCCTGATATATTGTTACAATATTAATTGAAAAATATTAAAAATACATAGGCACAATTTTTTTTTATAAGCATTTAAAGATCGCATTTTGACAAAATTTATCAAAATCTCGAAAATTATCAATCATCGTAATTAATAAATTATACAATGTTCAGTTTTTATAGCTAAGGATTGAAAATTTAAAAAAAGATTCTCATAAATAGTTCATACTGTAGCCAAAAAAACTAAAAAATATATGAGCATAGTTATTTTTTACAGACATTTTAAGTTCAAATTTGGGACAAAATTACATAATCAAAAACCTAGCATACCTATTTTAGTTATTTTGTTGTGAGTGTATATTACTATTCGTGGGTACTTGAAACTTCAAGATCAGACTTGAATACATTTAGTAAGTATAAAAATAAGCAATATTTTGTTATTAATTGCATTCCCGTCATTTTTTTAAATTTTTTTGCTTTAGATTCTGATAATATACTAGAAACAGGCACAATTTATGTGCTACTAATTTTGACCCTTATATGTATTTTTAGTTCATTGGTGCTCATGTGATACAGCCAATTATACTAGATTCTTCTAACCCCGCCCCTGATAAGACTTTACCAGTAAAAATTATCTTAGGTGTGCAATTTACCATCTATTTATGTTATATGTATAGGCACTATTTAGTAAAACAATAATTTATATACCTACCAATAGTTTACCTATTTTTAAATATGTTTATGATTAAAAAATAAATAAATTAGGAGGTACCTACAAGAAACTTAAATTAACATATTACAATAAATACAATAATACTATATTACAATAATGAAATAACATTAAGTATAGGTTGTTTGATACATTTAACAGATACAAATAGTACCTACCTATTATTTTTTTTTTTAAACAATTTTACCATTTTATAGGTATACCTATCTTTAATTTACCTTTAAAATAAAAAAAATTGTTGAACAAGCGTATTTAATTTTTGAGGTACATAATATGAGCAAAATTTAAATCAATATAATAGGTGATAGCATAAAATTCACTCTAAGATTATATTACAATATATTTTATAAATTTTTTGTACATCATAGTTACACCTATACATAGGTATATGACGATGTTACATAGGTTATACTATAATGAGTAAATGACAATTAGGTTTTTAAGGTTGGATAAATGTTCATAAAGTTCTCATTAATTTAAACAATACTTGGCTATTAGTTGCTGTTTTACCTAAAGCTTATGCAAAACACCTTCAGGTAATACTCAATTTTTTAACCTGCAGATGAGTAAATCAGATATTCAGAATCAAATAATATCTATTACATGCAGTGCTTGAATTGGAAAAAAAATAGAAGGGGTATGCAAAAGTATAAAACATTTGTGCGTCCCCCCAACATTTAAATGTCTTATCAATTCTTGAAATTAGAAGGGGTACGCTAACATATTTTAAAAATAGAAGTTGGACTCCGTCCCCCGCGTCCCCCCCCCAATTCAACCACTGATTACATGTATAATGTAGGTAGGTACCTATATTATTTATTATCTTATATTATTATATTAAAGACATTTTAGTCAAGGTACCTATCTGCTATCATATTAATAAATATTTATGAATATAATTTAAACTTTCTCATTTTGGTAAGTTAATTTGAGTTTACATATGGTCTCTGTATTTTTTTCTTTTATAATATGAAATTTTTCTTTTTTCACATAACAGGACTAATCAAAAAGTTATTCTCTGTTTGACATTTTTTTCTTTTTCCCTTCATATGAAATACTATATATATAAATATTAAAGAAAGATTATTCATAGTAACCTGCAGGTTATCAATTTTTAAGTCTATATAAAAAATTCAACTAACGTTCAATTCCTAAAAAAAAAATTGAAGGGGATATCGGAGCCCGCAGACAAATGCATTATAGAAAACCAAAGAAAAAAATTTGAAAAAATTATACAATAGAATCACATCAAAAAGTTCAAACTAAAATGTCTAGAATCTTAAACAGCAAAAACTATTCAAAATAATTAGTTCATTAAAGAAAGATTATTCATAGTAACCTGCAGGTTATCATTATTCAAAACTTTAAAAAAAATTCAAGAGTTAACTTCCGAAAAAAAAATTGAAGGGGAGTATTGGAGCCCGCAGGCAAAAGCATTTTAGAAAACCAAAAAAAAAATTAGAAAAATTATATAGTAGGAACACACATAAAATAGTTCAAACTAAAATGTCCAGGATCGTAAATAGAAAAAATATTCAAAATAATTAGTTCATTAAAGAAAGATTAATCATAGTAACCTGCAGGTTTTCAATGTTTAAGTCTATACAAAAAATTCAACTAACGTTCAATTCCTAAAAAAAAAATTGAAGGGGGGTATTGGAGCCCACAGGCAAATGTATTGTAGAAAACCAAAAAAAAAAAGGTGCTCTGCTGTACTGTAGGTTATAAGTGGGTCACTGTATAATGGATGGTATTAAATTTGAATTCAATGATATAATATCATTGTATAAGAAAAACGATTCTGAGTGGAGGCGGTATGTCAGTTTAGGTTAAGACATATTATATACATATTACATATATATCGTATTAAAATAAAATTGACCTATAATAAATTCCAAATTAATCATATCACAATATCCATTAGGTACTTATAAGCGTTATACATCAACAACAAACCGTGATACTATCATAGATATATAATAGTACACTTTAGAAGTTTCAAGTACCCACGAATAATTTTATACAATCACAACAAAATAACTAAAATAGTTATTCTAGGTTTTTTAATATATAATTTCGTCCCAATTTTGAATTTAAAATGTCTGTAAAAAATAACTGTGTTCATATATTTTTTAGATTTTTTGGTTACAGTATGAACTATTCATGAGAATCTTTGTTTTAAATTTTGAATCCTTAACTATAAAAACTGAACATTTTATAATTTATTAATTACGATGATTGATCATTTTCGAGATTTTGATAAATGTTGTCAAAATTCGATCTTTAAATGCTTATAAAAAAAAATTGTGCCTATGTATTTTTAATATTTTTCAATTGCTATTGTAACATTATATCAGGAGACTTGTATTAATTTTTTACACTTTTTGGCCCAACAGATAAAACTTTATTGATATTTATAGAAAAAAAAACTAAAAAATTGAAAACTGAAATGTCCGTAAACGGCTCAAAAAAGATCAAAATATTTTCAAAATTGTATGGTGTATAGGAAATGCTAATATAAACATTCAGTGAAATTTTCATGTATCTACAGTAATTCGTTTTTGAATTACAACAAAATAAGGAAATCGCCACATGAGAAATCGAGTGAATATCCAATGTTGTAAAAATTTGAATTTCAAACGCACATAAAAATTTAATTTGACTTTCTTATAGAATTTTTTTTTTTGATAAATGTAGGAAATCTTATAAGGAATCTTTTATTACATTTTCATATCTAAGATTTAAAAAGAAACATTTTTATGAATTTCTAACTCGAAATAATTTGCAAATTGACATATTCGAGGACATATTGTTATAAACTTGAAAAATTACAAGAAATAATTGAATTGTGCCAAAATTCCAAATAGTTTTTGGAATTAATCAAATCATTTAAAGTATTTGGTCTTGATCTTGAATCGTTAATGTTAATACACTACCTATGTCAGTATACATTTTTTTTAACTGGTATATCATTTAACTATTGTATTGACAAACAACTTGTTTAGGTAATCAAGTAAATTGCAAAGCAGTGGGAAAAAATCTATTTGGACTAACTACACATTATAACTACACATATTATATTATGATTGCAAAACGGAATTTGAGTATGCCATAGTGAAATCAACTATCAAATACTTTATATGTATTGAAAACTAAAAATTGTGCTAATTTTAATGTTTTGTAATTTGTACAACATCGATCATTACAAATTCAAATACAAAATTTAAAAAAAAAAAATTGGTAGGTATGTGATTAATAATTATATTTAAATTACTACTAATAGTACCCAATAGTATAAATGCTCAATATGTATAAAGTTTTAAAAAATGTATATTATTAGGTTTTTATTTTTAAATGATGTATTACATTGTATAATGATAAATACTAAATCATTTTGTCAATGATTGATGTTGTCATCAAATAATAATTAGTGACGTTCGCGTCGCGTGTCGTTCGCGCCGCGTTGTCGATGGTGAGGATGTCGCATGAGGACATCGACCGGCCCGATGGCAGTGGCAAAATCCGTTATCACGGGGAATCGGAGCCGCGTGATAGTACGTGCGGCCGTGTTAAGCTTATGGGGTAACTTAATAGTTAACTCACCTGGGCCTTGTTGGAGGGATTGGCCCGCTCGAGGTCTTGTTGGTTAGAGCTCAGCAAGGCGGACCTGATCAGCTGATGGGCCTAGACGTGGGTCGTCTGGTCGTCGCTGGAGGTCTGCTTTGTTGGTGCGGTTTGGGGGTCACTTGTAACTGGTCTGACGCGCTGAGTTTACGTGCGAACTATGTGTGCGAGCTGTTGATGGCTCAGTGTGGTCACTGCGCACTAGTTGCGAGATCAACTTTTAGCGGCCGAGGTCGTGGACGGCTAAAATCGGTTTTACAGTGCGTCTATCGTGGACCTCCCTTTCCGAAAGCCGTATTGGCAGTCTGCCAACCCACTGTTCCGTTCGAGTATGTCCCTCAGACGATTGTCCGTAATTTTTTCAAGGACCTTCCCTAGAGAGTCCAGGAGGCATATTGGCCTGTATGACGACGGCTCGTCTAGTGGTTTGTCCCCTTTTCTGATCAGTACTAGGCGGGCTGTTTTCCACTTTCTCGGAATCTTTCCTTCGAACAGGCACTTGTTAAATACTGTCAGAAGCATGTCGGGGAATTTCCTTGCGACTATCCTCACCATCTCGTTTGTCACTCCGTCTAGGCCGGGAGCTTTGTTCCTTTTCAGCGATTGGACTGCTGTAGCTAGTTCTTCTGGTCTTATGGCCTCTGATGTCGCTTGTCTCTGGCTCTCGTTTGGCCACTGTGTCTTTTCGAGATCTCCGTGAGTGGGAAACAGTCCGGATATGATTTTGTCCAGTCTTCCTGGTGTTGTCAGCTCTGGAATCGGTCTTTTCTTTTGGAGTTTGCCCATCACTATTTTATATGCCGTGCCCCATGGTTCCCGGTCTACCCGGTCGCGTAATCTTTTCCAAGCCTGTTCCTTGCTCTTCTTTATTGCTTTTACCAGGTCTAGTTTTGTCGACTTTGCTCTTTCTTCCTCAGCCACACATTCGCTCCTTCCAGTTTTCTTGAGTTTCCGCTAGTATACTCTCCTAGCGTGGTTGGCATCCTTGCGTAGGCCCGCGATCTCGTGAGTCCACCAGTGCACTGATCTCCGGCGTTTTGCCCGTGGGTCTATCATAGTCGTGCATTTTTCATGGATTGCTTGTACTATTGCCTCTGAACTTTTGTTGGCGTTCATGTTGTTAATTTCCGGTACGCCGAAGCGCCCTTCCTCTATGGCTTTTTCTAATTCTCCTATATTTGTTCTGTAGATGGTCGGCGGAGAATCCTCGACTGCTTGGTGTTTTACTGTAAACTCGATATAGTTGTGGTCACTCAACGTGCTTTCGTCCAGGACGAATAATAATTGAACATCTTTTGATATTATTTTAGGAATCACTGCCTTTATATTATCATTAATTTTTGCCATCCCTTTGACATTCAGAATCATAAAACATTTCTGAAAATTTATAGTAATGAAAATTAAAAGGTAAACTTATAAAAATGAATTAATATTTACCATTTTTTTTACAAGTTCATTATCAATTTCTAACTGTTTATCGAATTCTTGAAAATGTTCCAATGGTAGTTTTTGGCAAACTTACGATTGTGTGGTCCTTTAAAACAGAATCAACTTCTGTAGAACTATTATTTATTGATAGTAGTGATCTAGTTATTTTAAATTCTTCTAGGATTCGATACTCGATACTCCTTTTAAGCGACTCAATCAGATTTTGATACCGGCAAAACATTATCTGAAATAAATAGTATCATGAATACATCACTATTTTTCAGAGACACTGAATGTAATTATATTTTAATTTATTTAAACCTGAGCGACCACATGTTGGACAGTATTTTTTGTTCTGTTTAACTATAACTGTAACAGGACATATTATAACATTATTAGATATTAAATAAATATAGTTATCTGGTAATAACATTGTAAAAAAATTATTATTACAAATGTAGGTACAGCTTAACCAAAGGAACTACCAAATACTTATAGGTATATATTTTTTTTTTTTTTTTTTTTTTATTTTTTTTTTATTTCATATATATATGAAATACTGGGCCCCACTGAGAAAACTCATGTGGGGGCCCAGGAGTTCGAATAATATAATTACATTACAGATAACAGGAACATGGTAAAAAAGAAAAAAAATAGATTAAAAATTATATATATAATTGACGCATTCAAAAGCAAAGCCAATCAACTTCGAAAAAAAATGATAATATTTGGTTTCTAATCGAACCATGCTATTTGAAAAACAAATTTAATTTATCTGAATTCCTCAATCATAGGACTTACCTATGTTACCACAAGAACGGTCTCTTTTTTTCAACAATTTCTTTCCAATCGACTTTTTTGTCTTAGTAGAAACAGAAGACGATGATGATTCAGATGATGATACATTAGATTGTGACAAATCTATATTTGTAACAACATAATAACACAAATTATAATTACTATTTTATAGCTCAACTAAAGAAACTACTATCTACTACCCTTTATCTTATAATTATAGGACTTACCTAGTCTATCACAAGAACGGTCTCTTTTTTTCAACAACTTTTTTTCAGTAGACTTTTTTTTCTGAGTAGAAACAGAAGACGATGACGATTCAGATGATGATACATTAGACTGTGACAAATCTATATTTGTAATAACATAATAACAAAATATTAAACATTTGATTTAATGTATACATATCACATAATTCAATTGAAGAAACTACCTTGAAATAATGATGGTCGTTGATTTTCGATAGTTGCTGGAATGTCTTTTAAACTATTTTCAAGTTCATTCCCAGATAGATGTTTTTATCAGACTCACATTCCGAACTGTCTTTGTCCTCAACCGCACTACTTAATACAACTGTATTAGAGAAGGCTTTATTCATTCGCCTGACACCTTGCTCATAATTTCCTAAAATGTAATAAAAGATTAGGGGGAAAACTAAAAAAAAAAGAAACTTTTATAGAAGTGAAGAAATAAAATGCCTAGTTTTATATTTTTATTTATTGAATTTTTTTTAACTATGAAACTCAAATAAAAAAATTACATCCACAGCATTTTTACCATTTAAAATATTTGTTATATTAATAATTGTTGCTATCATGATTTCTGGTATTTGTATGCTGAGAAGGGCTTAATGAATAAATTGTTACTGACACTACCAACAGAAACTTCCATAGGCATTTCCAATGACAAATTGAAATTTTCAATTTCATGTTGTATAAAGTTTGGCACATCTCTTCTTGATGTTGATACTTCAGCCTCAGCACTTTTTTTTTGGCGATATTTTTTTAGTCGATAGTATGTAACACTCATTTTTTGTTCTTATACAATTAAAGATACCAATGAGCCTATTGAAAACATTTAAATTTAAAATGGGTATTTAAAATGATGTACCTATGTTTTGGTTTATTAAAAATGTGTTAAGTCTGGTTTAATATAGGAACATACCTAATATTTATTGTTTTACTTAAAAAATAACTAATTATTACAATTTACAATCATATTACAAGTAGATTATTATTTTGGTCATATTAATCAAGTACCATAGGTATCTTATATTTTTTAGGTTATGGTTATTTTACTCAATTGTAATTTAATGTCAAATAGTGAAAATGAAAAAACCTTTAACTAGAATTATAAGCTTGAAAATTGTCATTTGTTTTATTTTCAGTATAATTTTCTCAACATTTTAATTTTTAAAAACATTTTATTTTATAAGGTATTTTTATTGGTAAATTAAAATTAAAATTCATAACTTTTTAAGTAGTTAATTTTTAATTTTTGTTAATTTGTTTTACATACAAACACATACACCACAATACTGTAAAATTTAATAAATCAAGCTGTTAAGATTTTATTATTAAATAAAAGAAAATCAATTACAAATAGATAGGTACATGGGCTTGTACATGTAAACTTGGATATTGCTAGATGGCCTGGAAAGCGTCAGTACTTTACATAACTAAAAATAACTTTACCTACTTTTAAAACTGAACACGAACATAATACTAGACAAATATCTAATATCAAAGTACCAACTGTGCACAAAAAATTAACACAATCCAATCCTATGTATTGGTCCAAACATTTACAATACACTACCATTAGAAATTAAACTGCAACTCTTTTCAGATTCTTAAAAAAAAATTACACTTTGGCTATTACAAGAACAAAAGACTCATAACAAATGTATAGGATTACTGCATTACTTATTATAGAAGTTATACAACTTTAGTAATTATTGTTAATCTTACTTTTATATTGTATTATTTAATTACACAATTTTTTGCATAATACTACATTATAATATTAAATTATATAAACAAAGAAAAGAAAATTTGTAGGTATTCACTTATATTAATATTCTAGTTATGCGAGAAATGTATATCACAAAGTGTAATTATTTAATTAATATGAACTATTTAATGTATTTATATTTCAAATTGTGAACTCATGGGCCCCCACGCGAACATGTTCAGTGGGGCTCATTATCTCCTTGAAGAATAAATAAAAATAAAAATATTGGCAGTGATGGACTACACTCTTATTTTTAAGGAAGCAGTTATAATTGTTTGTACATACCCACCCTCACAGAGACAGTTGTCAGATATAAAACAACTACATTAAATGAAACAAACTGTTTGACAGCAACATTATTCCAACAATGTTTAATAAAATGACTCAACCGACAACCACCATAATTTAATTAAATGACAAGACTGTCAAAGTTGACCACATTAACCCGCCACTATATACAGATACCTACATAATATTACCCAAATAAAATACATAGAAGCATAGGCGTGTCCAGACCTTGTTCGCAGGTCATGCACAGTAGTGGCATATTCAGGGGAAGTAGGTTTCTGCACCCTCCACCCCCTAAAAAAAATTTCAATAATTGTAATAGATATTAAAAGTCCACATGATGAAAATCAAAAAATTTAATTTTGAAATCAGAATCTAAGAAAAAAGTGTATATTATTATGTACCGCAATTTATAATGTAAGTTAGATCAAATTTTGCAGGTCATGCCTGTGCATGACAGGTAAGACCCGTAGACACGCCTATGCATAGAAGTACCTATAACCCTAGTCCCTACCTCTATGCCCTATGGTAACTACTAGGCATTCTACTAGCATCATGTATCTACATATTATCACTAACATTAAACTGATCAAAAAATACATTTAGACTTGAAACCATTTATATTTTAAATAATAATCAATGATAGGCACTACCTACCTTCAAAATTTCTATAATTATTAGGTACTCACAAATTAGAATTATGACTCAATTTTTCTAATTCAGTGAATTTTTTAAGAAATTAAAAAACAATATTGAATTAGGTAATTTAATAACTGAATATTGTTATTACACATGTGATAGGTACCTTACAAATTATAGGTACCTACTTTAACCATCATTTCACCAAAATTATCATGTTTGGTATTTGAGATCTATAGGTAACGATATCTATATAAATGTATATAGTAGGTAGTTAAAACTAACATAAATTATAAATAACTAATGACTAATGAGTAATAAGAAAAGAAGATAGGTACTTGGTACTTACCAAACAATGTATAAAACCGACGTAGCAACTAGGTGGCTGGGTCCTGGGTTGTAGATATTTTTTATAATATAACATACAAATATTTATGACACAAGAAATAAATAAATTACTGATGGACAAGGGCGGTTTACTGCTTCAGCGCGTCAGTGGTCAGTATACTCAGTACACGATAGCACAACAGCAGTGCTGCGTGCGGCGAGGCGGTGGCGGCGGCAGAGACATACGTCGTTACATGGGTTTTCCCGAAAAAACGGATCAACAACAACAAATTTCTATATTTGTATAATTAATATCCTAAATAATATTAAATATTATATAATACAATATTTAAATGTAATAATATACTTATATACCTAGGTTCTAAATTGGTTTATACTTACGAAAATAATACTGAATATAATATTATTAACACATTTAAATTTAAACAAAACAAATGTTTTACACAAGTACTTTCCAAGACTGTCAAGCTCGTTGTGTGATGGTGATGAGCCCAACTACAAGAGATAAGGGCTGGCCTTAAGCCCTTAGCTCAGAATTCGCATAACTCTCACAACTCGTAAATCACCCGTAATATGTCAGCAGTGGCGTCCGCAGGGGGGGGGGGGGGGGGGGGGGGGGGCTAACGGGCTAAAGCCCCCCCCCCATTGCCCGTATTATTATTACTTTTAAAAAAATATATGAATTAAGTTTAAACTGTCAACTATAGTAAGCAAGACGTAACTTTCATATATTATGTCTTACCAGAATGAATTCGTTTTTGAAAAAACATTGTATTTGCATACCAATTTTCATAAATTATCTGTAATTTTTCGGTGAAAGAATGAACTACTTGTATGAAAGACCTTGTATTAAATTGTCTATCCTTAGCTATACTCTTTTCAGAATAAGAACGCACCAGATTTAAGTAACAAAACCGGTTTTGTCCGTG